TCATATCTTATCTTAGTCTTGACTGTTAATAGATTCCCTCCTAAAATTCCAGTCACCTATCTGTTTTAGACGAATGGAAGCCAGTCTTTTTGTCAAGAGTATGTAATAGGGCACTTTTGTAGAGCTGCTGTATTTAGGCTGCAGAGATCCAAATGACCACTAGATAGCAGCAAAGAGACAAAAACGATATCTATTGCCATCTAATGGTCAACTGGAGTTTTGCAGCTCAGATATGGTAGCTCTAGACCATGATGTAGCACTTACTCTCTGCACTGTGGGGTGGCCTTCTGTCTAGTTTACTGGCTTGGGTACAAACAAGTAGTGCAGTGCTGGAGGGACAAAGCTGCCATGTTGATATAGCTGGGTATGTTGACTTCCAGTTTGTACCCAGAATTATGGATTGTTACACCAGTATGATAGGTCGGCCACTGATATTTGAACAGTAAAATTATCTACATGTATTCATAAAATTATTAGTTCATTGTGGTTTCCTCTCTGGTAAGTGGCTTTATTGCTGCAGCTTACGGTTAAGCAATTTAATGAGAAATAAGCTGTTTCACAAACCATCTTCCATTCAGGAAGTCCAGCAATTGTTCTGTGGATTACAAACACTTTAATTTCTTCTTTTAATACTTTTCAACTTTTCAACTTTATTGATTAGTCTTATAACCATATCAACGAGGATAAGAAACATCAGCAAAGGTGAAACAAATAACTACAGTGGTACCTCGGGTTACGAACGCCTCTGTTAACGAACTTTTCGGGTTACGATGAGCTCCGGCCGCAAAAATTTACCTCGGTTTGCGAACTCCGCCTTGGGGTACGAACAGGATATGCGGACATTTTCCCTCCCATGACACGGTCCGCAGCCATTTTTCCGCCCCTGACACGTGGTCTGTGGCCATTTTTCTGCCCCAACACGTGGTCCGCGGCCATTTTCCGCCCCTGACACGTGGTCCGTGGCCATTTTTCTGCCTCTGACACATGGTCCATGGCCATTTTCCACCCCTGACACGTGGTCATAGGGAGGGGGACTCTTCCTCCAAGCAATAGC